GGTTTGAGACCCGCCTGGGCAATTTGACGAGACCTCGTCTCTACAATAAGTCAAAAACTAGCCGGGCGTGGTAGCGTGTGCCTGTAGTTCCAGCTACCTGGAAGGCTGAGGTGGAAGGATTACCAGAGCCCAGCAGGTCGAGGCTGCAGTGGCCGGGAGCGTTCCACTGCATTCCAGTCCGGGCGACTGAGTGAAACTCCAACTCAAAAAACAACAACAACAACAAAAAAACGTGTAACATAAGCTGAGTGCGGTGGCTCATGCCTATAATCCCAGCACTTTGGGAGGCTGAGACCAGCCTGGGCAACTCTACAATAAATCAAAAAATCAGCTGAGTGTGGTGGAGTGTGCCTGTAGTCCCAGCTACTTGGAAGGCTAAGGTGGAAGGATCGCCTGAGTCCAGTAGGTTGAGGCTGTGGTGGCTGTCAATGTGCCACTGCACTCCAGCCTGGGCAACAGAGTGAGACTCCAACTAAAAAAAAAAAAAAAATGTGTAGTATGATACTATTTATGTTTCCTAAAATGCTGTGTGTGCATGCATGCATGTGAAAACAGAAATAATGAGTATAAATAGGAAACAGTGTTGATCTCTGAGGAATTAAATGGAATTTGGTGAGGGACAGGAAGAGGAGAACTGTATGTGACGACTTAATTTATGTGAAATGTCTTTAAGTCTTTTAGAATGCCAATGTACTGATAATTCATTTGTATGATTTTTTAAAAAAGAAACTAGCTGGGCATGGAGGCTCATGCCTGAAATCTCAGTACTTTAGGAAACCAAGGTGAGAGGATGGCCTGAGCTCAGGAGTTCGAGACCAACCTGTGCAGTATAAGACCTTGTATCTACAATAAATCAAAAAAATTAGCTGGGCTGGTTGCATGTGACTGTAGTTCCAGCTATTTGGAAAGCTGAAGTAGAAGGGTCGCCTGAGCCTAGCCATTGTGGCTGCAGTAGCTATGATTGTGCCATCGCACTCCAGCCTGGGTGACAGAGTGAGACTGTGACTCTAAAAAAATAAAAGTGGGGGGAGGGCACAGTGGTTCATGCCTGTAATCCAGCACTTTGGGAGGCAGAGGCAAGAGGATTGCCTAAACCCAGGAATTTGAGACTACCCTGGACAACCTGGCAAGACCTCATCCCTACAATAAATCAAAAAATTAGCCAGGTGTGGTAGAGAACACCTGTAGTCCTAGCTACTCAGGAGGCCAAGATGGAAGGATCACCTGAGCCCAGGAGGTCAAGGCTGCAGGAGCTGTGAGCATGCCACTGCACTTCAGCCTGGGCAACAGAGTGAGACTCCAACTCAAAAAAAAAAAGAAGAAACTAGCAAAATATTCATACTCTCTGAGACAGCAATTCCACTTCTAGAAACCTCTCCTAGAGAAATGTTTATATCTGTGCGCAGAGACAGTTGTGCAAGGGTGTTCGCTTCAGCATAGTTTATAAGAGCAAAAAATTAAATGCTATCCTAGGGTCCATCAGTAGGGGGCTGATCAAATAAATTATTAGACATTCACACAATGGAGTGCTATTCAGTTCTAAAAAGAGTGAGGGAAACCTGATTGTATTGAAATATAATGATAATCAATATGAATGGTTAAGTTAAAAAAGAAAAGAGAAAAACATCTATTAAATGATCTCATTAAAAAACATGTTAGTATGAAGGGGGACCCAAAAAACTCTAAAATTCATTTATTAAAAACTGTGATTGAGCCGGGCTCGGTGCCTCAGCCTGTAATCCCGCGCTTTGGGGAGGCTGAGGTGAGTGCTTGGCTCAATCCGAGTTTTTAATACATGAATTTTAGAGTTTTACCTCATCTCTACAATAAATCAAATGATCATCCGGGCGTGGTAGCACATGCCTGAATTCTGGCTACTCGGAAGGCTGAGGCGGAAGGATCGCCGGAGCCCAGCAGGCACACTTATGGCTACCACAGCCTCAACCTGCTGGGCTCAGGTGATCCTTACACCTCAACCTTCCAAGTAGGTAGAATTACAGGCACGTGCCACTATACCTGGCTAATTTGTTGATTTATTGTAGCGAGGAGGTCTCACCAAGTTGCCCAGGATGGTCTCAAACCTGTGGGCTCAGGCAATCCTCTCACCTCAGTCTCCAAAGTGCTGGGATTATAGGCGTGAGCCACCACGCCCAGCCACAGAGAGCTTTCACTTTCTTGGCATGTTTGAATTATTTTTACCACCATGTATTATTTTTGTAGTTTGGGGGGCAAAAAGATCAAAAAAATGTCCCTGCTTCCCTCACATTCCATTGAGGGCTCAACCCACTGCAATTTGCCTTTTACCCAACCTACTCTGCTGAAACTTTTTTGGCAAAGATTGCCAACAACTCCTGCCAAAACCAATAGTATATCTCTCGTTCTCATTTTAACTCTTGAAACTCCCCATTTAACCTCTGAAACACCACTCTCTTGGTTATAGAAGACCCTCTCCGACTGTTCCTTTTCAGTCTTTGCAGTCGGTAGGGTAACGTCCCAAAGATGTTACATCCTAATCTCAAGAACCTGTAAATATGTCACCTCACGTGGAAAAGGAGGCTTTAGAGATGTGATTAAATTGAGGATCTGAAGATAGGAGATACCCTGCATTAGCTGAATGGTCCCAATGTAATCAGAGGGGTCCTTATAAGGGAAAGAGGAAGGGGGGAGAAAAGAGTCATAAAAGGAGAGGGAAGACAGAAGCAGAAGCAGGAGTGAAAACACTGCTGGCTGGAAGGGAAGTCTTGAGCCAAGGAATGCAGGCAGCCTCTAGAAGCTGGAAAGGCCAGGGGTTCTCCCCTAGAGTCTTCAGCAAAGAATGCAATCTGTCAACATCTTGATTTTCGCCCAGTGAGAGCCATTTAGGACTTCTGACATCCACAACTGTAATATAGCATTATGTTGCTTTTTTCTTTTCTTTTTTTTTCCTGAGTTGGAATCTCAATCTGCAGCCCAGGCTGGAGTGCACACTCAACGGCTACCGCAGCCTAAACCCACTGGGCTCAGGTGATTCTTCTGCCTCAGCCTTCCAATGAACTGGAACCACAGGTTTGTACCACCATGCCCAGATAATCTTTTTGATTTATTGTAGAGATGAGGTCTCGCCAAGTTGCCCAGGCTGGTCTCGAACCCCTGGGCTCAGGCAATCCTCTCGCCCCGGCCTCCCCAAATATTGGGATTACAGGCGTGAGCCACTGCACCCGGCCACTTAAGTGCTTTAAGCCACTGCTTGTGGTAAATCTGTAACAGCAACAATGGGACACCACTAATATAGGCTCCTTTAATAACTCCTGGCTGGGCTCAGTGGCTTAGCCTGTAATCCCAGCACTTTGGGAGGCCGAGGTAAGTGGACTGCCCAAGCCCGCGGGTTCAAGACCAGCCCGGGCAACTTGGTGAGACCTCATCTCTACAGTAAAAAATTTAAAAACTAGCCAGGCATGGTAGTGTGCGTCTATAGTTCTGGCTGCTCGGAAGGCTGAGGTGGAAGGATCGTTGGAGTCCAGAAGGTCGACGCTGGAGTGGTCGTGAGCATGTAACCTGGGTAAAGGAGTGAGACTCTGACTCAAAAAAAAAAAAATTCAAAAAGTAAGCTAGGCATGGTGGTGGGCCCTGTAGTCCCAACTACTCAGGAGGCTGAGGAGGAAGTATCACCTGAGCTCGGGAAGTCAAGGCTGCAGTAAGCCAGGATTGTGCCACTGCACTCTAGCCTGGAAGACAGAGTGAGATCCCCAACTCACAAAAAAAGAGGCCAGGTGCGGTGGCTCAGGTCTGTAATTCAGGCACTTTGGGAGGCGGAGATGAGAGGATTGCCTGAGTTCAGGGGTTTGAGACCAGCCTGAGCAACATAGCGTGATCTTGTCTCTACAATAAATCAAAAAATCAGCCAGGCGTGGTAGCACATGCCTGTGGTTTCAGTTACTTGGAAGCCTGAGGCAGAAGGATCACCTGAGCCCAGCAGGTCGAGGCTGCAGTGGCCGTGAGTGTGCCACTGCACTCCAGTCTGGGCGACAGAGTGAGACTCCAACTCAAAAAAAAAATGAGTCAAATGTTGAGGATTTGAAAACTGATTTAAAAAATTGGTCATACGTCATATACAAAATGAAAGTTATAATATATACTCAGAGCTATTTCTTCCTAGTTTTTCTTTCAGTTATGTCAAGCGTTCCCCCATGGCTCAGGGACTGCACACACAAATGCCTTACTGGCTTAAAACGTAAAGTGAATGAGCAACTAGCTGGGAGCCAAGGGGATTGTGGTGAACTGAAGAATACATGCCCCACTTAGAATCAAGTTCAAAGAAACTGAAAACACTTCAAGGCAAGCAATACCAAACAATACAAAAGCATTTCTGTGGGCTGTCAGTTTGTAATCTCTGACAGGATAATGACAAAAACTCAGCACAGCTGGGTGCGGTGGCTCACGCCTATAATCCCAGCACTTTGGGAGATCAAGGTGAGAGGATTGCCTGAGCCCATGGGTTCGAGACCAGCCTGGGCAATTTGATGAGACTTCATCTCTACAATAAATCAAAAAATTGCCTGGCTCGGTGGCTCAGCCTGTAATCCCACGCCTTTGGGAGGCTGAGGTGAGTGGATTGCCTGAGCCCGCGGGTTTGAGACCTGCCTGGGCAGCGAGACCTCATCTCTACAATAAATAAAAAAATCAGCTGGGCGTGGTAGCGCGTGCCTGTAATTCTGGCTACTTGGAG